GGAACAGGCTAGGGAGTTAGTTCCTGACCCAGCTCTGTGCTCATGGAGCTGAGCAGGGAACAAACTCTCCATCTTGATCCCTGCCCAACTACATGTTTGTGGAGCTGAGCAGGGAACAAGCTCCCCAGCCTGTTCCCAGTCCAGCTCTGTACTTATGGACCTAAGCAGAGAACAAACTCTCTAGCCTGTTCCCCACCCAGCTCTGCACTCATGGAACTAAGTGGGGAAGAAGCCCACCAGCCTCCACCCCACATGCAGGGCAGGCGCTGGGAACTGTCCTGGTCAGAGGCAGACAGGTCCCAGCCCCATGCCCTGATCTAGTGATCAAGGCACAGGGCTTGGAAAGAGCTGCAGGTATGGGGTAGGTCCCAGCCCCTTGCCCCAATCTGCTGGTGGGGCAGCTACCAGCAAGCTAGCTGATATCTACCCCACCAGTAGGGAGCTGATACAGCATCACAGCAGGGAGCTGATACCTGCCTCTCCCCTGCAGCTCTTTCCAAGTCCCCCAGCCCTGATCTGGGAGCCAGGGCCAGGAGCTCCCTGCTGCTGGGGCAGGGGGACATCATCCTTGCCCCAGCAGCAGGCAGCCCCACGGGGCAGGTGTGATGTCCTAGCCCCAGCCAGGAGACAGCTGTCTCTTGGCCTGGTGCTTCCTGCCAGCCCCTAGAGAGCACCCAGGGAGAGCCTAAAGCTCCCCTTGGTGGTGGCAGGGCCCCATTGCAAGGCCCCAGGAAGTAGAAGCAGTTTGCTGCCATTAGCAACAAATCTACTCCCGTCTCCCTGCATGTGTATGTAACCCTGGGCGCGACACTACACGTGCCCTCACCTGAATAGTGGGATCCTGGGGTACCCAGTAGCCCTGCCCAGCCCCCCTGGGAAGCTGCTGCAGTGCCCCCAAGCAGAGAGCCTCCCCTTACAATCAAGCACCCTCGCAGACAATTCTCAAAATATTTACAAGATTTAATTATTTACAACATAACAAACGACCCTTAAATAAACACATTGATATACCAACTAATAAACCCTCAAGAACTTATTTACACAGTCTCTCACTTGCACACGGTGTACTGGGGATCCTGTGTACACTGCCCCTGGCAGGGTGTCTCAGGGAGCAGGACTGTCTGTGTCTCTGCACGTGGTCTATGGATGCTCCCTGGTGTCCATCTCTGTGCCCCTGGGGTCTCCCGGCAGCAAGGGTCTCCGGGCACCAGGAGGTGGCTCCTCCTCTGCAGTCCCTGCAAAACACCCTTCCCCTGCTTTTGACCCCCTTCCCCCGGCTCAGCAGGGAGCAGTGTCTGAGCTGCAGGCTGTAGCAACTCTCCTGTCCCACACAACCTCACAGCCTGGCAAACACAGCCCCTCCATAGGCTTTGCTTGCCCCTGGAGCCCCTCACCCATCAGGGTAACAGGGCAGACTCCGGCAGTCCCCACTCCCCCCCCCCAGTCACCAGGCTGCAGGTGGGTCTTTTCTGGCTTGAAGTCTTCCTACAATCAGCCCCCCTCTGATCCTGCCTCTGCAGGCTCTGGGGCTGGATACTGTATCTGTCCTGTGGCAGCCTTTTCTGCTGCTCTGCAGGGTACTCCTAGGGGCTCTCCGAGGGACCACTGTGTTGAGACTGTCTCCAGCCTGTCCCTCAGCCCCACTCTCTCTCTCTTGTTCTCTCCTGCAGAAAAACTGCTCCCCCCTTTTACCCAAGCCTCATGAGTAAACTGATCCCAAATCAAATGCCTGTATAGGCACACCCAGTGGGTGCATCTACATCAGGCACTTTATTGTACATTAGATTGATCTAATGTACAGTAAAGCATCACAGTCTACACATGCACGGGACTTAATGTGCAGTAAATTAAGCTAATGTGCCATTTGTGATTACCAGGAAATACAGGTACTAGCCAGGCTGTGAGGTTGTGTGGGACAGGAGAGTTGCTACAGCCTGCAGCTCAGACACTGCTCCCTGCTGAGCCGGGGGAAGGGGGTTTTGCAGGGACTGCAGAGGAGGAGCCACCTCCTGGTGCCCGGAGACCCTTGCTGCCGGGAGACCCCAGGGGCACAGAGATGGACACCAGCACCAGGGAGAGTCCACAGACCACGTGCAGTAGCACGTGTAGACACTGACCAGAGCAATTTGCTCTTGGTCAGCTTAGGCAGCAGTTGGCTGTGAGGCAGAAGAGCTCTCCACAGCTCCAGTGCTGCCAGCTCCTGGGGGGAGCCAGGAGCGGAGCAGTGCCGGAATTGGGGAGCTCTCTGTCCCTGGTGCCAGTGCTTCTCAGCTTCTGGCTCCCCACAGGCAGGGATGGGAAATGGGAGTGACTGGGGGTGTATGCTATATGGGCAGTGGTAGAGCTGAGGGACAGAGTTGCTGCCCATGTAGCACATGCCCCAGTTGGATCCCACTTTCTGCCCGTGCCTGGTGGGGAGCCAGGAGCTGAGCAGCACTGGGACAAGGCGGAAATGCAGGGGGGGGAGCAGTGGCAGGAGCAGAGGGAAATGCAAGGGGTAAGCAGTTCTGAGACTGAGGAGGACACGAGGGGGAAGTAGTGCCGGTCCCCAGTACCGGCTTCCAGTCCTCAAGGGGAAGCAGTGCCACTCTCCAGCGTCTTCACCCCGGTCCTGGCACTACTTAACACTATGCTTGAGCATTGGGCATTGCCCCAAGCCAGCACCACTGAACCAGGCTGTTATACCATGCTCTGCACATCTGGAAGCTGCCCCCCACTCCAGGACAGTTCCTCTCTGTTATCTAGAGCCTAGCCCTAACCCCCATACTCCCTGCCAGCCCAGGGCTGGCACCGGGGGAGCCTGGAGTTCTCCCTGGCTGCTGCAGGGGGGCAGAGCAGGGCAGGGGGGCAGGAGCAGCCCTGAACTGAACTGATCCCATTGGGAAATTTGCTTTCAACAGGGGCACATGTGTAGACGTGCGCCTGGGAATGCTTTAATAAGCCTGAATTTTCTCTGCAGAAAATTCTGGTAGATTCATTGCACATGTAGATGCAACCAGTATGATTTACCAGTCTCTTAAAACTTATGGTCTTCAGAATATTTACAGTGTTTGTTCTATACTGATTAGTCACTTGGCACTGTAACAACCTGAAGAGTTGACACCGCATGATTTTAGTGCAAGTTATTTGTTGGTTGATGTTTTCATCGCATTTAATGTAGAAGTTTAATTAGGGATTCCTATAAAACTGTAACTCGTGATCTCTCTAAATCACCGGAAGTTACTAATAATGAAATAATAGTAAGCAGCATAATTTTATTTTACATGTCTGTGGTGTCTTTCACAGGAGGCCTCCCATAAGCATTTAAAAAACATGAACTTATTTTAAAAAATAAAATTTTAGTTTATATTTTTATTAAAAGAGAAAAGTGATGAAGTTTCATACTGCCTTCTGAAATTATGCAAGTTAAGATGTTAAGTTCCTAGATTTTTCCAGTGCTACTTTGCAGATACCATCACAAATTTGAAAGGAGGAGAGAAAAGAACCCTCTGAAAAAGTGCACAGATGTTCAAGAAAAAAAAAAATGCTGTTTTCAAAAACCAGTCTCTCTCTCTTTTTTTTATTAACATCATTTTAAAGCTACCACTCCCTAATTAAAAATAAAACCTAACCTCAAGAAGAGTTCTAATATATCAGAAGTATATTGTGAAAGACCAGACAGTTTTACAGAAACTGAACAGGTCTTGGAGCCATAGCCCCACATTGATGGCTTTTGGGCAATATGTTGCCCACAAGATCTTCCCATCTCACTGTAGCCACATGAAATTTGAAAATTAAAATTGAGGTCAACAGGGAGAGTAAAGCATCAAGTTTTCCACAGCACATCACTTGTTCAGTATTATTGTCTGTGAGTTAGCAAAGCTTGAGAATCACTGTACCCAGTCAACACTTTACACTAAGAGCAACAGCATCAGTGCTTCATCCAGTAGGTAGTAGATTCTGAATTCCAGTTGCTTCAACAATATAATGGTGCCTCACATCGGGACAAATATTCCACTTTTGTGGAGACAGAAGTGGTGTGCGATGATTCCGCAGTTTGTTGATGGGAATGGTGTTTTTTTCAGTTTGTGGAAATGGATATAGGGGTTGGCTACAAACATGGCTCGTATTTGAAAATCCATTCAGATCCCAGAGAATGAGTGAAGGACCCCAGATATTCCCCACCACAATTCTCTTGCAGTGCTTCTCCCCTACAGATATGCTAACAAGGGCATCCTCAACAGTGGTTATGAACAAGAGCAGGGAAACAAGCTAGATAGAAAATGTAACATATCTTTGAGATGTGTTATCTCCCAAAGAGTTCTTCCAAGGGAAGATAGGTATTTTTTAGCCCCACCTATAGCCAGAATCAAGAGTACATGAGGTTTCTCAGGCTCTGCTTCATCCCTGTTATACATTTTGAATTTCAGGAAATGCCTCCGCAGACTTCCAAAAAAGTAGGAGACGTGAACACAGAGAGGGCCATTCACTGACAGGTGCAAGAACAATCTAGGCCAGAGTCCTGCTACTCTCCAAGCTGCTGGGATGCACTCCTGGCTGCCTGCATGATACAGCTGTGTGTATGCACATGGCATTTATTGGCAACATCATTGGCCACATCAGCCAAAAAAAGCTGACTGCTGATAACGTCAATTTTCCTTTTATCAGTGCCGATATGATATGGACCGATCTATTGGTGCACCTCTACTCAGTTCACATTCAGGTGGCTATTTGTGGAAATTTAAATTATGCAGTTGGTATGACTTAGCTTTTTCTTCCACCACTCCTGAGTCTGTGACTGCAATTTTAAAGGCCTGAGATAACCAAAATGTTTATAAATTAGCCTGTTGTGCTCGCCCAAGCACTGTGTGGGCTTTTTTTTTTTTTCATTCCTAGCTTTCAGAAAAGCAGCAGTTAGTTCTTAGATTGGAATTATAAGTGGAAAGAAAATATCTGGTCATTTTACAGTTGATTTTATATGTCTTTACAGCATATTACTTAATGCAAGATGCATTTATGCTCCAGAGCCCTTCATGTGACAAAATTTCAAACAATTGGTGTTAAATTAAATATTACTTGTGACTTAACTACTGTCCTTTAAATGTTGAACATGACAGTTTTATAGTGAATTCAACATCTCGAAACTGTTGACTGTTTGATTTTTTCCTGTCTGAATATCTCTACAGAAAACAGAATGTTAGTACAACCTACAATAAAGAGACAGTTAACTACAATTAGTTAAATGTCATAGTGGACAGGCAACTCAGCCAGATCACAGTGTGTGACAGAAGCAAAAAAAGAATGAATGATTGTTCAATTTAGGTATATTCTGTTTAGTTCAATTCCTTGTTAATTTAAGTTTAATATAAGTCTCCAAAAAGCCCAGCCAGCATGACCTCATGTATACCAGCCACCTAGAAACATACTTATTTTTACTTGATTGATGCTAGTAAAGATTAATTTGCATATCGGATAAAGATGCATCAATGTATTTACCCATATATTAGCAAAGGTCATTATCTGCACTTGGGTCAGAGAAGACTGCAGGATGGAAAGAGTTTTAGGAATACAATAAATGCTATCCTTCTTGCTGGTTTGGAGTCTTACCTGCAGTGGTGCTGGCAGCTTTGGTACCTTATTGAATCTCTATCACTGGTTTTTGCTGTTCTTGAGCTGGGAGGGTAAATGCAGCAGAATGACCAGTCTGAATTCCAGCAACAAACAAAAATAGCTGGCAATGGAGTAAAGCTAAAATGGCAGAATCTTTGTTGCAATAGAGACCTTGCAAACAATAGCTAAAGTTATTTAAAACTAGTAACAGCTAATACTATAACGTAAGGGTATATAGAATACTGTGTTAATAAATTTTTTCCAGAGAAAACAAAACTAGTCACCATGCCAACTGCAAAATGCGTACACTGAATATCTTTAGAAAGGCAATTAAGTGGCCATTTATGAGGACAGGCTAAACCTGGGAATAAAATTAGAAGACAGAAGAGGCTGTGTGGCTGAAGTACATGGGCATAAAGTAGCTAAAACTACTAATGAACATTACACTAATTTAGTTCTCTCCTGGGCACTTGATTTCCTGGAAAGCCTAATTTGATTGACCTTTAATAAAGAATTAAAGAGAAAATATGGAACATAAGTAAAATAGGCTCTATTTTACTTTATATGAATACTAAAAGAAAGAAAAACAGAAAAGTAAGGTCTACAAAAAAGAAGAGAAAACAGAAGAGGGTAGACAAAGAATGGGTAGAAAAACATAACTATACTGTTCTAAACCTGTGAAAGAAGAGTAGGAACCTGAAACACAATCTGTTGCAAGAGAAGCTTCAACAGGATTGCCAACCCAAGACATGTTTTTACTGACAATCTATAGACTTTTTAGTGACAACCAAACTTTTTAACTGACATGTTATTTACATAATGTAAATATAACCCTTCTATCAGGCCTGAGGCAAGAGCCAGGTTCAAATTTTGAGGTTATACACCAATGCTAATAAAAAAGTATGGTTCTCAGTTAAATCTCAGATTAGCAATAAAATAAAATGTTCTTGGGTTGACAAACCTGATACACTACAGCAATGGTTTTACACTGTGCTGCCCCCCACCCCAGGCATCCCCTACTCACCCCCACACCCTAATGCCCCTGGCCCCACTCCGCACCCTGCTGCTGCCCCAACATACGCTTGCTGGCCCCTCTTTCCTGTCCTGGTACAGACCTCCAGGGCTAGGGACAGAAGTTACACAAACTGGTTTAAGTGATCAGAAACTGGTTTGAACTTGTAACAGAACAGAAATTCAGTACACATAAACCTCTTTCAAAATGACCACAACTGGTTTAAGATAAACCTAGTTGAATGTAGTATCAGACTTACATGATTTAGGTCAAACTGGTTTACAGAACTTCTGAGCCAGACCACTTCCTGGTTTAAGTTAATACACAGTCCCCCAGCATCCCAGGATGCTTTGCAGTCCTGGGCTGGGCTGTGCCGTCTGCTCTGGAGTGCCCCCCACACTGCTCCAGCAGCAGAAGCAGGAGGTGTGGCCAGATGCCAGTAGCCTGAGGAGAAGGGGGTTTAATCCCCCCTCCCTCCTGTGAGGAATCCCAGCTGGGGTCTGCCTGGCATTCCCCCCCCCCCCACTCGCCACTTGAGCAGCAAGAGCAAGAGCATGGCTAGACCCCAGCCCCAGGCCTCTGGTAAAGGGGTGGAGGAAAAAAAAAAAAATCACAGAGAAACAAGACTAGCAGGGACCACGGGGGAAGGGCTCTTCCTAACTGGTTGCAGGGGGCTCTGTGAGGTGCTGCCTCAGGGGTCAAGGTAGGAGAGGCTCAGTGCTGGACCCTGCTGTGGGGCAGAGGGGGAAATCTAGCCTCAGGAAGCCCTTGGTGGCTTTTTTCCTCAGCAGTACAGAGTCCTCCTGGCAAGCAAACCCTCCACTCTTCAGGTTCCCACATCACACAGAGCCCCCCTGCCCTGTGGCAGGGGAGGAGGAGGAGGGGGAAGAGCTCTGCCCAACACAGTGGCTCCATGACAGCCCAGCCCAGCCTGGGAGCAGGGAGCCAGGAGTGATCCAGGCACATGGTTCCCACAGCCCCAGCCTGAGCTGCAGCTGGCTGGGAAGGGCCCTGCCCCCATGACCCCTGCCAGTCTCACTTTTCTGTGATTCTCCTCTTCCTCCCTAACTTTGCCTCAAGCCTGGGGCCAGGGTCTGGCCATGCCCCCACTCTCACTGCTTAACCCTTCAGTGCCAGCCAGGGACTGGGGCCTGGCCATGCTCCCCCGCAAAAAGTTTGGCAAGGGCTGCTTCTCCCCTTTCAGCTCAGCTTCCCTCTAGCCTTCTGGCTACTGGCAAAGGGAAGGGAAGGCACACTTTAGTGCCCCCCTTACTTCGAGCCTAAGCCACTGCAGGCATGTGGCTGTATTTCTGGCATCAAAAGTGAATGTCTGTTCACTTGCTTCTTGGTTTAGTTTACCCAGGTTAGACTAAACTGCAAAGATTGAACTGATTTAGGCTCGGGCTTTTTGAATGTCTGTACTTATCCCAAAGGACTACTGTCTACCAACCGGGAAGATGATAGTGTTACAGACATGTGACAGGACAACACAGCAGCAGCAGCAGCAGCAGCACTTGGCTTGGGGGAGGGGCTTACAAAGGCTTAGAGGCTCCCATGGGCTACAAAGCCTTGAGAGAATGCTCCCTGCAGGGTGCTGTGGGTGCTCAGATACTAGGTGGCACTGACTTGTTCTATTGGTCTTTCAACACTTTTCCTTCAGCTTCTTTCTGATGAGGGATCTTCAAGCAAGGTCCTGATTGCTCAGTATATTTTTCTGGATGGCAGCATTTCCTGAGGGAGGGATTTATGGACAGGCTGTTTAACCTTGTTTTTTTATGAACTGTCTGTATATTTACAGTTGGCAACCCTGGACTTCAACAAAAATGCTTGTCAACTCCACTAAAATGTAATCAACATATCTACTGTATCACTATACACTTGGGAAAATAACAACCTAAAGGTTCCAAAGCTATTTAAAATGAACATTACAAAGCATAGGCAATCCAGCAATTTCTTCCTCATTTTAATAATTTTCATGAGGAAAGACTGAAGAAATCAGTCCCTACATACTAGCATAACAGTTCTTCCTGTTCTAGTCTATATCCATGTCTGGTTTCATATACAACAACTGTTTAAGAGGAGAATCAACACTGAAAACAACTTTGTAAATGTCATTGTAGGATGGACAGATTGATTTATCTCACTAGCTTCCATATTTAAATGTGCTAGTCTCTAAAAATAAAATAATGTTTTCCCTAATTCTTCAACTTGTCTGGAATCTGAAAGTTAGGTTTGGTTATTTTTTTTATTCACGTATCACCATGGAGTTTTACAAGTGGGAATTTAATTAACAGTCCTGTAGGTCAGGGGTTGACAAACTATGGCCTGCAGGCCAGATATGAACCACAGAGATATGGGGCTTCTGCAGCATTTTGGCAGCAGGGGCCTTTGATGGTGCTTCAGTGGCCAGAGGCTTCTGCAGGAATTTCACCCTGGTGACAGGGAAAAGCAATGGTGGTGGCACTGCAAAGAGGAGTGATGAATATGACTGAAAGTAGCCTGCACTTGGAGATAAGGTACACGCAACTTTTTTTGCCCTTTCTTGCGCTGCAAACAGTGTGACTGTTTGCACCAGTGGGTTTTCCAGACACTTTAAAAGTCTTTCTGGTGCATTAAAATAAAACTCGTCAAACATAGTTTAGTTTGGCTCACCACAATTTAAAGAATCATATGCATGGATTTGTTGCATGCAAACACAAAGCACTCAAAGACATGTAATGAGCCTTTGTCCCCCAGGTGGAGCTGTAACTTTTTTGTATTTCACCACTGCCACTTTCTGATTGCTTCCACTTTTTTTTCCTTCTTGTGCCATGTACCAGCTCCCTGCACCCAGAGCTGCATGGCAGGGCTTGGGGTGTGAGGCCCCAAGCCAAGAGGACAGCATGGGGCCATCCTGATTTCCTGTGGTGCCAGCTGGGGACCAGGCTTAATTCATTCAAAAACCTAGTGCATGCAAACACTGATGTGATGTTCCAAAGCTTAGTTCATTTAAAAACCTAATGTGTGCAAACATTGATGCAATGCTGCAAAATAAACAAGTTTTATAAATCTATTTAATTTAATGAGGATTAAACTCTGTGATGTGTACAGGTGTGCAAACTCGGTTAAAGCGGCTTCCACTCCAACGTTGTTGACTCTACTATAGATGATGCACAAACATGCATGAGCCTAACTCTTGTTTAATACATATTAACTCCGCAGCGTTAAAATGCAGGGTTTTTCTACGCAATGAGCTCCACTGAAAAAGCCTCCTGAAGAGTTTATTGCAGAATTAAGTTCTAAGGCCCAACACCTAGTGTTATACACCCATGCGTCCCCTTTAAAGTCAACCCAACCTCAGGGGGCATTTGAAAAATTTGGACATTTAGTAAACAAGACGTCAATCCGTTTGGAAACCCTATATCTAAAGCAGTACAGGGGGCTCACTAACTTAGTAAAGAGGGTTTAAATTAGGTTTGCCAGGGGATGCAAACCAAAGCTGTGAGGTAAGTGGGGAAGTGCGTGACCTGGAGGAAGCACAAGGAGCAGGGGGCAACAAGGGAGGTCTTCTCATTTTTCTGAGAAAGTAGGGCAATCAGTTAGTTACCCCAGGTGCCTATACCCCGAGCCCACTAACCATTTTTGTTATCCTCTGCTGGACTCTCTCCAATTTGTCCACATCCTTTCTGTAGTGGGGGGCCCAAAACTGGACACAGTACTCCAGATGTGGCTTCACCAGTGCCGAATAGAGGGGAACAATCATTTCCCTTGATCTGCTGGAAATACTTGATACCAGCTGCCAACTAGACACTGAGCCATTGATTACTACCCTTTGGGCCCAACAATCCAGCCAATTTTCTAGCCATCTTACATTGGCCAACTCCCTCAGCACTCTCTGGTGTATCATGTCCAGCTCTATAGACTTGTACACATCCAACTTTTTGAAATAGTCCCCAACCTGTTCTTTCACTACTGTTGGCTGCTCACCTCCCCAAGCTATGCTGCCAGGTGCAGTAGTCTGGGAGCTGATCTTGCCTGTGAAGACTCAGGTGAAAAAGGCATTGATTACTCCAGCTTTTTAGCTAAGCCGCAGCTCTGAAGAAAAGGACCTAGGGGTTACAGTGGACAATAAGCTGAATAAGCCAACGGTGTGCCCTTGTTGCAAAGAAGGCTAACGACATACTGGGCTGCATTAGTTGAAGCACTGCCAGCAGGTGGAGGGAAGTGATTTTTCTCTTCTATTTGGCATTGGTGAGGCCACATCTGGAGTACTGCGTCCAGTTTTGGGTCTCCCATTAAAGAAAGGATGTGGACAAATTGGAGAGAGTCCAGTAGAGGGCAGCAAAAATGGTTAGGTGGCTGGGGCACATTACTTTTGAGCACAGACTGAGGGAACTGGGCTTATTTAGTTTAGAGAAGAGAAGATAGAGGGGAGATTTAATAGCAGCCTTCAACTACCTGAAGGGTAGTTACAAAGAGGATGGAGCTATGCTATTCTCAGTGATGAGAAATGACAGAAAAAGAACAGTGGCCTCAAGTTGCACCAGGGAAGTTTAGATTAGATATTAGGAAAAGTGTTCTCAGTAGGAGGGTAGTAAACCACTGGAACAGGTTACCCAGAATAGCTATGGATCCTCCATCTTTGGAGGTTTTTGAAACCTGGCTAGATAAAGCCTTGGCTGGGATGATCAAGTTCGGGGTGGTCCTGCTTTGAGCATGGGGGTGGACTAGATGACTTCCTGAGGGCCCTTCCAACCCTAATTTTATGATTCTATGATAGATTGCTGTAATTCTAAATACAGAAAATGATTTCTGGTTGAATACAAAGATGACATTTTAACTGATCCTCAATAGAGCCACACCTTAATAGGATTTGAACTGCGATTCTACTTAGCACATTACATGGGAAAGAAAGTAAATAATTAATGGAGTTTTAGGTCCACAAAGGGACTACAAGGAGGTCTGGTCTCCTGTATAACAGACTATTGAATTACACACTTATCCTTGAATTGAGCTCAGAAATTTGTATTTGACCAAAACATCTACCAACATATTCCCACTTCATTTGAAGATACCACTTTCTTAGTTTGTGCATTATTTCTAATTTGAAAGTTGTTCAGTTACCAGCCACAGCTTTTGTACTGGTTCTCTCTTCTACATCATTAGTAACTAATGCCATAATAAAAAGGTAAATTCATCCCCCTCATTTTGCTCACTGTTTACCTGTTTATACATCTGAGAATCATATTCAGTCTTTTTTGCCACAGTAACAAATTTTGAGCTCAGGCTTGTCCATTATGACATTTAAATCCTTTAAAGAGTCATTGCTGTCCAGGTACAATCCCATATTTATGTTAATATTGCTTGCATTCCTTGTTACTAAATGTATAACTTTGTATTAGAGTATATTGAAAATGAAAGCACACTTCATTTGAAGGGCCCGTTAGGAAGACTCCACTCAAAAGGTGATACTGTGACGAAGTGGGAACTCCCTGACCAGCCACAGCGCTAGTTTCCCCACTTGCCTCTGGGCATGCCACCCACCTGTCTCACCTGCTATGCCTTGTTGTTACTTAATTGAGATGTTAATTAAGGCAGGAGGCTGCCCATTCTTGCCCCAATGCCAGGGCGTGCTATCTGCAGCTCCATTCCTCCCCTACACTGCAGCCCAAGCCTCACAGACGACACACTGCTCCCGGCCTACAGCCAAACCAAGCTTAGGCCTCATTGTCAGGCATCAGACGCATACATATTCATACTGCTCTCCTCTCACTAGGGTCTCTCACACTCCATCCTTCCTCTTTCATGCCTCAACAACTTGTACTGCCTTTCTTCCTCTTGGAGCAGGCCCCTTAGGCCATAGGCTTTAGCTAGCTCATACCTTGGGTGGCAGATGTATGAGCTTTTGGGCCTCCCCCACAACCCTCACCAGGGTAGTGGCCAGCCAATTACCCAACTGGGTCTAAGCTTGCCCTTGCCCCTTCCCAGGGCAACTCTGTACACTCAGACAATACTGGACTCCCAGCTCTCTTGTTTTCCCCCTCACTGGGGCTCCTCATCTCTGCCTCCCTCACTGGGGCCCCACACCACCCCCTCACTGGGGCCACAGGGCTTCCCTTCACAGTGGGCTCAGGTTGCCATAGCTGTGCCTGGCCCCAACTAGCTCTCCTTCGGGTCCTGCACCCCACAGGGCTCAGGCAGCCATAGCTGTGCCTGAGCCTCACTATTGCTCCTCAGGACTTTGCACCCGCCACTAGGCTCAGGTGGCTGCAGTCATGGCTGGCCCCACTACCTCCAGTGATAAATGACCCACCAAAGTTGAGAGCTGGGGTTAAGGCACCCCTACCTGCCTTTCAACAGAGTGGCAATTGGCCCGGCATTTCCTGGGGGCTCCCACGCCACTGAGAGTCCCACCAGGCCACCCACCCCCAGCAGGGTGCAGTTTTAGGTTATACCCAGGACCAGGAGCCTCCAAGCCATCCTCTACAGCTCCTGCCCTTACCTCCAGGATGTTGAATACAACCTTGCAGCCAGGGAATGTTTTTGCCTGGCCTGCTAGTAGGCAACTGCTCTATTTATATAGGTAGCCAGAGATCTAAAATGGCCACTGCAATCAAGCACCTGCTGGCTGCTTGGCTTGGCTCTTAAAGTGGCAGGCACCAACAGTGCCCTGCCACAGATACACCACTGACAACTACTTTTTGATATCTGTTAGTGTGTTCTTAACCAATGTAATATGTACTTTATAGATATTATATAGAGGTAATTTAATTCAAATACTATGTAGTACTAAGGCAAACATCTTACAAAAGTCAGTTATATCTACGCAGTCACCAAACTTGGATCTTGTGAGAGAACATAATGAGATTTGTCTGATGAGACGTATGTTCTAGAAGAATATGTTGATTAGCATTAATTATCTTCTCATTTTTAAATTATTTTTCAACTCAATCATATGTCTGATATTTTGGCCTTTGAGGGCGTTAAAATCATGCACGTCTTAGAGTAGCCATAGAGGGCTAATTTATCCCCAAGGACTATCTCAGAATCAGGGAAGCACAGAGGTGTCTTAATGCTACTTAATGTTAACCCCCC